CGGTCCCTCAGCTCGCGAACAAGGCAAGCCGGGCTCCGCGCCGCGTTACAGCAAGCCGGTGCAAACCAACAGCAGCCGCCTCTCTCGCTTCCCCAAACCCGCAGACCTGAAATGCGGAACAGCAAAATCTCGCGAGCCAAGGCTTCGCCCCGCCCCGCCTTGCCGAGAACCAGAAGCACCCTACTTCCCCGCCCCCAGCCAATCAGCGTTCTGCAAACCAGGCCTTCCCTCTGCGGGAGGGGTGGTGAGGGCCACTGGCCTCGGGAAGGAGTGGCTGGCCCTGCTCCTGATCCTGTTTGGTGCTGTTGTGTGCCCTCCATTCTCTGTAGGCCAAGGAGAGGCCTCTATGAGAACTAGCCACCTCTCCAATTAAAAAAAAAACATTAATCTAATTTAATGGCTAATTAGTTTAATAGCAAGCATTTTCATAGCAAAAAATCACCTTTTCAAAATGTACACTCCACCTAGCATGCTTGGGGCCCTGGAGTCAATCCCCAGCATGGAAATAGGTAAATAAATAACTAGATAAAATAAAATGTACTTTCCAGTTTTTATGTGTAAGTATCCACTAAGTTGCACAACCACCATCACCATTATCTCATTCTAGAACATCTTCCTCCATGCCCGTTAGCTTTCTTGGCAACCACTAGTCTATTTTTTTTTTTTATTAAAGATTGCAAAGATACATGATAACAAGAAATGAAGATACTAAACAAAAATTTCAAATATACATATACATATGACAGCAAAAAAGGATATGAGATAAACAAGAATTTATGTAACAGACTAATCAAAATACATTAGTTTGAAATGATCTTCAAACATTATGTTCTTTCTCATTTTCTTATAATATTTTTGAAATAACGTAATTATAAATAAAACAAAGTTACATATTATAGTTGAGAAACTGTCCTCAAAATTTTATGATTTATAAACTCCTTGGTTTTATTAATTGATAAATATCATATACTTGTTGATTGTACCACTTACATTTTCTAACAAAACTTCCCACAGAAAAAAAATACTTATATTTGAAATCCAAAAGAAACTAAAAAAATTCACATTCTTAAGATCAGATTTTTCTGTTTCTATTTTATTATATCCCCTACTTATTTTTATTATATTTTTATAAGCATAATGATAGAATTTAACACCAATAGATATGTAATATTCTTCCCAAACAAATGACTGTGAATTAAGTCAAGCATGTAATTTAAAGAAATCATAAGGCTGCCAGAGAAACACTATGCCAAATGTGCACAATCCTACCACATTCACGCCCATGTTTCTCATTTAATAGTGCACAAATATATGTAAAAACATACCCCCCACATATATACAATGCATATTTTCTACAATATAATATATACTTAGGTATAATAAAACAGTGCAGTGATGTGTGGAATGTTGGTGATTTGTATAATTTGAGAAAAAACACATATCTTTGAGGGAGTTGGAGAATTTGTAATATGTACCAGATACGAAATGATGTTAATGATTAAGTATAGTTATAATAAAATTTACTTAAAAATTAATATTCGTCATCAGTAGAAAATAGGTACAAAGATATATTGATAACATAACCCTAACAACATTTATCTTAACAAATTTCCAACCAAACAAGCTGTAGTGACAGAAAAGGAAGTTTGTAGAAAACAGAGATGAAAGAGGAAAATGACAGATGGACCTTAATACTTTTCATACTACTCATATATACAGATTTCATAAATTCTCAAATAAAAAAGCAAAGAAAATGAGAACCAAAATAACTCATCAATTTGGTAGACCAACATACAGAGACAAGGATTAATGTATTGATAAATTTTAAAAATATAAATGTAAAGCCTGAGATTTAGCTCAATAGTGCTGCACCTGCCTAGCCAGAACAATGAAGCTCAATAGCTGCACCTGCCTAGCCAGAACAATGTGTCGAGCTTAATCCCAAGCATCAGAGGAAGAAGAAGAAAAAGGAAAAAAAAGAAGAGGAAAAAAAAAATACTTTCTGACATACTCAATAAATTAAAAATAAATTATTTGTTATCTCTTCCTCTTGAATCGTTCCCTTCACAAGGATGTAGTGAACTTCTTTGTCTCTTTCAATCAGTTTAAGTTTGACACTTACTTTGTGAATAAGATTGCTACCCCTGCTGTTTTGGCGGGGAGGGAGCTCCTGTTACATGAAGAAGTTTTCTGTCCTTTCACTTTCAGTCTATGGGCTTCTTTTTACACTAGACATGTCTTGTATACAACATATTATTGGATCTTGCTTCTTAATCCATTCTGCTGGTCTACTTCTCTTGATTGGTGAATTGAGGCCGTTAATATTGATGATTATAACTGATATGTACTAACATTGTTATCATGTTTTTTTTTTGTGGTTTTTTTTGCCTTCTCCTTTCAGTTTCTTGGCTTGCCTGTTTGATTTGCTCTGTTGGGCCTCATTGTGTTGTTACCTTCATTGTCTTTTTCTAGGACATTGTTTAGAATTCCTTGTAGTGCTGGTTTGGTATTCATAAAGTTTCTCAGGTGTTCTTTATCCTGGAAATATCTTATTTCCCCATCCATTTTAAAAGAAAGTTTTGCAGGATACATCAGTCTAGGTTGGAGGTTGTTTTCTTTTAGTACTTGAAATATCTCATTCCAGGCTCTCCTTAACCTAAGGGTTTGTATTGAAAAGTCTACTGTGATTCTGATAGACTTTCCTTTGCATGTAATTTGTTTCTTCTCTCTTACTGCTTGTAGTATTTTGTTCTTCTGTTGGGTTTCTGGGATCTTGATTATTATATGTCTAGGTGTAGATTTTTTTTTATCATGGCTAGTTGGAGTCCTATATGCCTCACTTATCTGTTTATCAAATTCTTTCCCTCTGTTTGGGAAGTTTTCTATAATTAATTCTGTGAATAGCTTTTTTAAGTCATTTACATTTTCTCCTACTACTTTTGAATTCCTATCAATCTTATGTTATTATTCTTAGTATCGTCTAAGAGTTGTTGTATCAATTTCTCATGATCCCCTACTGTTTTTAAGAGACCTCTCTTTTCACGGTCACTGACTGCAATTTTATCTTCTATATCTGAGATTCTGTCTTCAGACTCTTTTATTCTTTTGTGAACACTCTCAATGGAGTTTTTAATCTCCTGGATATCAGTTTGAATCTGTCCTATGGATTCCATTTCTTTCTTGTATTGGGCATTTATTGTTTCCAATTCTTTCTTATGCTGGGCATTCATGGCTTCTATCATGGTCCTGAGCTCATCTATTTTCCTCTCAGTTTCTGTTCTAGAGTCACGAATTATAACTTTCATTTTGCTCGTCATCTCTATGATTATCTGGGAAATTACTTCTGTTTTATATTTCTCTAGAGCCTGACTGTTCAGTTTTGTTACTTCCTGTGCCTTGAGTTCAGGATGTCCTGATGATTCACTATCAGACTTTTCATCCTCATCTGCCCCACTGTTTGCCACTGGTGAACTGGAAGTCTGTCCCTGTATCTTGCTTAAGTGTTTTCTTGTTTTTACTATTGTTGTTGGGTTGTCCTTAGTTTAACCTTTAAATTATTACTTAAATCTTCCTGATGTAGTTGGGCTGCAGCCCATGGGTCTCTAATGACTCATAGACATTCTCATTTTCATAATACTGAAGAAAACAGCTCATTGAATCAATCACAACCCTTTATCCTAATTGATACAATCAGCACCACAATATAATGAAGCACAATTTGCAAATTGACCACTTATGGTAGTCATCAATCTAGCACCTTCAAACCATGTGAATTTAATTAAAATCAAGAAGCAATCCAAAATATGCTTACAGTAAATAAACTTTTCAATAAGGATATTTACCATTTACAATGGGGGCTTAAAACAAAGTTAAGACAAGAGGAGTAGATAAGTATAAGAATTAGAGAAGGTTTCATATGAAGCCAAAAGACGTAGAATGACCAGACAATCGTCAGGAAATTGTTAAATTCAAAAAGAACAAACAAAATAGAAATATAGTAACCCTTGAGTGAGGTAGAATAACATAAGAAAAGAACATAAAGAAAAGAGAAAAAAAATAAAAGAAGAAATCTGAATTAGGACAAGAGCAGAAACAAAAAGGGAGATGAGGGATACTATAGTGGAGTAAGAGACTGAGTTAGAGAAAGAAAAAAAAAGAATTTGAAGAGTAGAATGAAAAAAAAGAAACAAAAATTTAAAGGGCCCCTTTCAGACTATATCACTGCTGTCATAATATACAATATGTGCTGCCATTTACAGAGCCAAGTCCCCTGATCTCAGCTAGCTGGTGGCAGAACCCCACAAAGCAGACTGAGCTCAGGCTGCAAGGCCCAGAATGAGTTCCCTGACCTCCTAAAGGGTTTAACTCCACTCAGTTCTACTATAAATTTCCCACCACTTCTTAAGATGTTCAAAGTTAAAAGTGCCAGAAAATACTCTTTATGACCACCTCTGCCTCTACAGAGTAGGTACAAAGACTGGCACAATCAGGAGGTCTAAAAGTGTGAGGGGGAAGGTGGGGGGGTTTGGGGGTGCCCGCGCGGCTACCTTTCTAGCGCTGAAGATGGAGGCAGCGGCACCAACAGGGGAGGGCACGGACGAGAAGACCCTCTGGCACTCTAGTCTATTTTGTATTTCAATGAACTTACCCAATTTGGACATTTCTTATAAATGGAAACATTCAATAAGTGATCTCTTGTGACTGTCCTTAGTACAGTGTTTTAAAGTTAATTCTCTGAACCTTAAAATGATTTCATTCTTTTTTATGAATGAATAGTATTCCGTTGTGGAATACACCACATCTTGTTTATTTGTCAATGAACATTTGGATCGTTTTCACTTCGTGGTAATTACAAATAACACTGCTATAGACTGGTGCAACCAAACCACTGTGGAAATCAATATGGAGATTCCTCAAAGAGCTTGGACTGGACGTTCCATTTGACCCAGCCATCCCTCTGTTGGGTATCTTTCCAAAAGAACTAAAAGAATCATATCACAGTGATGTATGCGCACCCATGTTTATAGTGGCACAGTTTGTAATAGCTAAAACTTGGAAATAGCCCATCTGCCCATCAGTTGGAAACTGGATAAAGAAGATGTGTTTTTTCTATAAAATGGAATATTACTCAGCCATAAAGAACGAGAAAATAGATTCATTCATAGGAAAATGGATACATATTGAAGATATACTTCTAAGTGAAATAAATAAGGCACACATGTGTAAATACCAAATAGTTTCTCTGGTGTGAATAAACTGCAATAATACATGAGATCCTAATAAGATTACTGACATTGTGAAATGGGAAGAAAGGGGCTAAAGGTGTAGGGAAGGTGGGATGGGTAGGGGGAAGGGCAATAAGGGAAAAGAAAATAATGTGTGATAATGAAAAGAAGGAAAGAAAGTGTTTGTAGATTGGGAGGGGTGGAGGGGGTGAAGGGAGGGCAGGGACAAGGTGAAAAAATGAGAAC